CTCTCTCTCTCTCTCTCTCTCTCTCTACCTCCCAAAGAAAGGGAGCTTGGTCCCCTCCGGAGCGTACACTTAGGGTTGCTTTGAACCCCTGATGAGCCAATTAGATGTGCGGATTGGTGAAAAGGCCTTTGGGAATACCCACTAACCCCTTTTGTTACGCCGACATCTAAAGGGGCACTTGGCCGGACTGGGACATTCTATCCTTTTCTACTCCCATACTTTCCCTAATTAGTTCAATAGTGCATGATACGACCCAACCGCCCCTTGTCATGAAATTCTTGTTTTTGTGATTTGGATCTGCGTGTGTTAGGAGGTTGTTGCTGCGTCTTCGCTTTCATGAAGTGGATATGGAGACGCCCATGTTTATCCTTGGGATTATCGTGGTCTGCTCTATACTATTTGGTTACCTGGCCTTCATCGCGTATCTAGAAAGCGAGTGTATTAGAGCGTTTTGTCTACTGTTGTCTTTGTACTCAAACCATTCGCTGGGATCGGCTGGTAGAGCCTGGTGTATGGTTGGACGGGAACAATAATGGCTAATATGGCATACAAAAGGATGCGGCGGATGGCGTAGGTGGTGGTGGTGTTATGTGAGATGATTCTTGCGACAGTTGGTATAATGGGCATTGGTAGAAGACTCGAAGTGTGCTTAATGGGGATGATGGAGTGTGTGTGGGGAGAGGAACCCGCCAACGTCTGTAGGTAGTGATGAATGGTTGTTAGCACCGATCTTGGCCTATTGGTCTTTCCTAGCAGCACTTGTTATTCTTTTTGGCTTTGGAGAGGCTTGGTGTTGTTATTGTTCGCACTATTCGGAGGGATAAGCCGTATTGATACGTCGATAAAATCATACTTTCATTTGGCATTTTTTTTGAAGGGAGTTGTTCCCTCTCCCCCTACCTAGCGGAGAGAGAATCTGTGTGTGATTTGCAGTTGTCTGGCGTGATAGGTGGTCTCGATGGTATGGTGGAGGAGGTGTGGGCATTTTTTCTTTTTGAAGTAACTCAATGCAAGGATTTGGTGCGAGTTAATTGAATCATCGTTATTTCGCAAAGATGTCTCGAAAGTACCCATGTCGCTAACTGATCGGTATTCATGTTGCATGAGCATTGTGAGCACATTGAGTGGGAGTTAAATATGGTTGTGTGTCATGATGGCGGAATGTTGAGTTGTTGTCTCTTCGCAATACTTGATTGTTGAATAAGAGGGTCTTTGGGTTGGTCGATTCCCGTAGAAAAGAACCCCCCTCCTCTCCCCATCCTCCTTTCCTCCTTCCCCCTTCTTCTGCTTGCCCTTCGAATCTCAGCTATGGAGCCTCCTGGTTTGATTTCTATGAAAATGACTATCCTGGTGTTCGCATTTCTGGTCCACATGTGATATGGTTTATGTTGGGTAGTTTGATGAGCTAAGTTTTTTAATCGGGTATTATTTCCTCCGTTGATGCATTTAATAAATCCTGGAAGTATGTTGTTGCCTCGCGGATGAATCCGTGGAGATGAGCTTTGCAGCCCGCCACGTCGAACGGCGTGGGGATTTAGTAACAATACTACACACTCACTGGCCACTTAATCCCGCCCGTTTGCCAGCGGGGTGCTGAACTCCACCTGGTCGGGTTGTGTACAGTGGCTCCGGGTTACACCATCTGACAATTCGAGTGCAATTTCGGTGTTACTTTGGAGAAAATGCCATTTGGAATTTCCTTCGATTTAAAAGGCTACTGGCTCTGCGATTGCTTACCCCTTGCTATTGTATTATATGTGGCAGAAACCCATCTTATCTCCAAATGGATGGTACTTTGATCTCATCAAGGGGGATCAGGCGTGGACGGGGCAGTACAATCCTTCATCTCGCCCGGCTCAAGCTCTGATTTCATTGACTCATCCAAGTGTTTTGGATTTTCTCAAGTTGAATTCCCTCAATGCCCCTCCCCCCTATCCCGCTCTCATCTCGACCCTATCTTTCAATGATTGGGCGGACATCGTTTGGGTCTCTACGTGCGACAAGGAGTCATTTCCGGAGATGTTGAAGGCTAACGTCCTTGGTGCTAAAGCAATGCTAGATAAGGATAGGTTGGTGGAGTCGTCGATTAGGGACGAGATCATGGTAAAGGAGAAGGTATTTGTGGACCTTAGGAACGCTACTACTGAGTTCCACTCGGACCTCATCCATTTCGTGGCACAGGAGCCTTGTGCTTCCGAGTCTGCGTCAGATGATGAGCTTCCCCTCACTGAGGAGGAAAGGACGTTTCATGCCAAATTTCTAGAGGAATCTGATGCCTAGTTGGCCGTAGGTTTGGTGAAAGAAAAGACTTGATAGGTCACTAAGTTTCTCCGGAACGCCTTTCTCTCTATAACTCCTCATCGATGGATTGAGTCGCAAGCAAGGGCTCTGAATGACAAGATCAGGGACTTCGATACTTTAAACTATTTGGCACCGATCAGTAGTAACGCGTACAGACTGCTTGCGCCTCTCACTACTTAGGAGATGAATTTCTGCCACGAAAGGGCCTTGAATAAAAACACGGAGTTGATCAAGGGGCCGTATCTGCGAACGATTGACGCTATGGAGCTCCCGATTGTTGGTCACTTCGATCCACTCAAATGCTCCATCTCTTCCACTTCTCTAGTTGTCAGGGGATTCTATGCGACCAAAGACCAACCTGCCCTAGAGGATTTGGAATGTGGGTAGGCCATATCTCAAATGTCGCTGTGGGGAGTTGGGACTTGCGGATTGCAAATCGAACATTACCTGGTTTGATCACGTACTTTGGTACATGTTGGCCAATCTGGATTTCTTGTTCCCCGCGGCCCCTACTCTCCGTGCAAGAATGAGGGTCATAAGAAACTTTCTCAAGAAGACGTGGAGAGCTCCGATCCTCGCTAGTGTGTTTTTTCCTGATATGCGGGATATCATGGTAAAAATGGTTCATGCAGTTGTGGACAATCCGGCGAGGAGGCAAGAGAGGATCCTCGATGACGAGGTCCTTATGATGAGAAAATTTCCTATGAAGATGGCCTCTCGTATTCTCCCGGACATATATCTCAAGAGCCCGTCGACGTGCAGGCGTCAGGATGTCCGGGGTGATTCCTCGGCCAAGAGGCAGGCTAACACGATACTTTCACACTATGTCAGACCACAGGATGACTCTGAGGATGATCAACGCATGGTTGGGTCCGTGCGTCCGGCTTCTACCTCCACACCCCCGGATTTGGTTATCTTCCAACAGAAAAATTCCCACGATAAATGAAAGTTGAAAAAACATTCCATAAAACAAAAATCTTTTATATTTATATTATCATTCTAATGTTTGTCCAATTCTAAAATTTTCAGTTTTATGTGATAAGGTCCCGCCTAAATATGAGTTTTTTTTTCCAACTACATCGATTTGTTCAAGATGGAATGAAAATCTGGACGAGTTTATGAAATGTTTTAATTAAACTTTCATTCTACTACAATAAATATCTTCTTATTTAGATTGGATTAACCTATTTATGAGTGAAAATCCTTATTTTGAATGACAGTCCAACTAAAGTATTTCATGACCTCATCCAGACTTTCGTTCCATTTCTAGCATGCAATTCAAATAAGAAGGGATAACCCATTCTTGGAAAAATTTAAAATTTAGAATGTAATTTTACTCTAGAATTTATTATTTAATTCTGGGGAATTTTTTCATTGTCTTCCAGTCTGATGCGGTGAATTCCACCTCTATCAAGCCACTGCAACGTGGTTGCAGAAGTGGCACATCAACGAGGATTTTGTTTCGCCCCTAGATGTGTAGATGGTATGTTGGGCTCTGCTAATGTACATATACAGGTCGCTTTGATATCGTTTGTTTCACCACTAAATAAGGTTGTGTAATGAAGGATGATGCCGAAGATGCTGGTCACATTCTCCTTGATGAAGCTGACAGGAATTGATGGTCGCCAACCCCGAGGCAGCGTGCTAAGCTGTTTGTCCATATCAAATATGATAACAAGGCAATTGAGGTTGTTGGGTTCATATCTATTGTGGAAAGGACCTTCGCGGAGTTCTTCTCCCCGACCGCGGTTATCCTCCGATCGACCATTGTAATTGGTTGACCCTACCATGATTCATTGGAGAATCGGTAGAGACTTTTTTGTACAGACCATCTTTTGTGTTCAGGGATTTTGTCCTGGATCAGTGGCTTGATTTTTGCGATCATACTAACAATTGTCCATGCAATCTAACCAAATTTTGTTTATTTTTGGCCCTTGAAATACTTAACATGACTCAACCATTTTTTGTCCCCTCGCCACATGTGCTTACACTCAGCTTCTTTATCTCACATCACAAACAGGTGACTCATCTGTTCTCATAAGGCCTGAATCACATACCGCCTAGGCCACGTTTAATCTCACGGGTGATCCAATCTTTTTTTATTGCATGAGACACCATTCTCGTGCATGTGCAGAGAAGAACGTTTATCCCTTCCCCCGCTGCAAAATTAGCCACTGCTTTTAACATGTTATCCATTAAAACAGGACATTATATTTTAAATTGGTACATGCAAGCTATTAATTTCATGTTAAAATCGTATATTTTGGACCTGAATGGAGACAATCACTTACTGATCATGATGAATTAAGTGTAGATTCTATTGCACTTCCATCAATTTTATAACTTAAAAGCCGTTACGGTTATAGCATGAATTGTTGAATTCTCGATTTCTTCACACCTTGCTCAATTTTGTGTCAGCATTGAGTCGGACCTCTTTTAGATGACATCGAGACTTCCCTTAATTTATTGAAACAGGAAGTGGGACATTTAAGGCAAGAACACAGGTGGTTTTAGTACTAATAGTCTAGTATGGATTTCGTCGCACTTCGATAATTTTTGCTCTAACTCTATTAAATGTATACAAACTTAAGTTAACTTATTAAATCGATCGTTGAAATTCAATGGAAGTAGGACATTTAAGGCAAGCACACGGATGGTTTGAGTACCAATAGTCTAGACAATGGCAGGTTCCACAGACAGGATCATAGGACCACGAACGGGTGCCAACGACGAAGTCTGCCCGGATCCGAATTTCAGATCGGTCGCCGCGTTCGACCGGGTGCATTAAACACTTTGTTTTTGCTGGGGTCCCATTGACAGGACTGTTTTTTTGCGGCAACGCCACCGAAAAAACAGTCATGCAACCAGGACTCTGAAAAGATCCATGCAAACCTTAAGCGTCTTATTTCTGCGATGCGGTCGAAACAACAATAATCATCCAAGTAGCTCGCGACTTCGCATGCTTTAGATTGCAAGTCCGCCGGGATCCGAACTTCGTCGCACGCTGACAACTGGCATGGCGTTATGAACTATCGACCCCACGCCCGAAAGCTGGAAACTTTGTCATGCAAAACGTAGTCATCAGGGCAACCCATGATGGCATTGTGTATGCGAACGAGAAACCAACAACTGCCAAACAAAAAACGTGGAGTCGCGTGTGACAGCCTGCCGAAATGGGAACTTCGGATCCCGACGAACTACAGCAATCATGCGCTATTTTCGTACCTGCGCGTGCTCTCCCTGCGGCCGTGCGACGGCAACAGATTGCCGCTTTCGCGAGAGCACTGCGCATGATTGCTGTAGTTCGCCGGGATCCGAACTTCCCATCTCGTCAGGCAACCACACGCCATGCGCCGTTTTTTGTTTGGTTGTTGTTGGTTTCGCGCTTGCAGTGACAATGGCGACCCCCCTTGCCCCGATGACAGAGACGTTTCCCGGAGGCGGCCGGGTTGTTCGTTATTGAACTAGGCCATGTTTTCGTGTCGAGGTTGTCGTCACGAAACATGCGGCGCTCACGTCGAAGAAACGCCATCGTCATTGCAGCGAGCGGTGCAGGCGTTCTCCGTCGCACGCACGCAACGTCTGCATTCTTCGTTCTGGAGCCCGCGGATGTTACGCGCACAGTCCTGGCATTTGTCGTACGGAATGCAATATCGCATCCCTCACAACCAGCGCCAGGAGCGCGCACTCAACATCCATGGCCTCTACGGTGGATCATGTGCACGTTGTGTGCGCGGGAATGGAGACCACAACAACTCTCCCGGGATTGACGCCATAGTCTCTTCGGGGAAGGAGGCTCAAGTGTTGTGGCGAGAACACGAACACGGAACGACGACCCCCTCCTGTTTATGAATACCATACCTCTCACTACACGCCACGTGGACGGCGGACATCCTTCCCACCATCGCCACCGTGCGACGCTTAATACCAACAGTGGTCGCGCGCAGCCCATGTGGCACCCGCTTGTCGCTCACCACCACCACCGCGACTACTGTCCGTCCATGCTGGCGCAGTTGGCCCCACGATGGATTCGAACCATCAGTCGTGGATTTGCCGGCCAATGCGTCTCCTTTGTGATAACCAACCTCTAATCTCTTTGATGAGAACAACAAACGTGCGAGGGAAGTGTTTCGAAGGGGTTTCGTGTTCTGCTGGGAAAAGGCGAGTTCGTGTTTGCCTCGACCTCGCAGGAGTGGTTTCCAATGTTCAGCTTGTGATCAACGGTCCTTTTTCTTCAATGCCAAGCCAAACAAGAATCGCGGGGGCGGTCACGTGGAACGAATGAGAGAGAAGCAGAACGGGGCACGGAAACTGTGCGCCCCGATGTCTACGTCATCCGTTCCCGCCGTCCCAGCCACTTGCGACACGTGGCACGACATGATGATAATGATGACGACGGTGGTGATCACGATGATAGTGACGATTACGGTGGTGATGTTGATCTGGACGACGATGTCGCTGATGAAGATGACGATGTTGATGACGATGATGATGTTGATGATGATGTTGGTGATGGTGATGATGGTGATGATGACGATGATGATGATGACGATGATGACGACGATGATGACGATGTTGATGATGACGACGAAGATGACGATGGTGGTGATTTTGATGATCACGATGACAATGTCGCTGATGATGATGATGTTGTTGATGACGTTGATGATGTTGATGATGATGTTGACGATGATGACGATGTTGATGACGTTGACGATGTTGATGATGATGTTGTTGATGATGATGATGATGTTGATGAAGATGATGATGATCACGATGACAATGATGGTGATGATGATAATGATAATGATGATGATGATGACGATGACGATGGTGGCGACGATGATGGTGATGATGGAGGCGATGATGATGATGATGATGGCAAGCAAGAATCATGGGGCCACTCGCGAGAAAAGAACGAGCGAGAATCAGAAGGGGACACAAAAACCATGTGGCCCAATGTCACCGACATCCTTTCCCTCCGTCCCCGCAACTTGAAACAGGTGGTGCGACGCGGCCGCTCCCATGGGCCGGCAAACATGCCTGACGCCCGACACGTGGGCAGGCAGAACAGCACTTTACCTTGAAGAGGGCACAACGCACACGATGGCACAACTCTTTGACGGGTCACAGTTCTTCGATGAGGCGCAGTTGTTCGACGATGGCGAAGCGCACACGATGGCGCAACTGTTCGACAAGGGCTCAGCGCAGACGGCGGGGACCACTTGCTGACGCAGGATGCAGAGACGAGATGTCGAAGCGCAGACAACCGAAGCACAGACGACAGTTGTCAACGAGAGGAAACCCCTGCACCCACGCCCGCCGCTGCCTGGCGCAACAGCGGAGCAGAAAAGGCGATGGAGGATGTCGGTGACGGGACGTCGCGCGCGAATGCGCTCGTCAGGCTCGAGATGCGGAAGGGCTGCACCAGACCCGAGGCAGATGAGCCTCAGACTGTCGTCGCACCCCATGGAAAGACCCGCCTGTGTCCCCCCGCATATCCACAGACCCTGCTCGCTAGTCAGGAGACGCGAATGGCCGCGAACCCCTCCAACCTCCCCTTTCCCCCTGCCCCCCTCCCCCCTCCCCCCTCCCACGGTTCTCCCCCCTCCGACGGTTCTCCCCCCTCACCCCTGGAAAGTACAAACTGCCTCCCCCGCGACGGTTCTCCCCCCTCGACCGGGGCCCGCGAACCCGAAGACACGAACGCGAGGGGCCCGGAACAAGGGCCCGTTTTCCAATGATGTCCGGGAAGGGCTAGCCTGCAGGGACGTTTTTGTCACATTTCGACGCACCAGGCCCCCCTCGCGACAATTTCGACGTGCAGCCACCACTCGATGAGCGGATCAAATAGTCGCGCGTCGGCGCTCGGACCCTCCACGGAAATCCGAAACGGTAGGCCCGAGGGGGCCTCGTGTCCCGCGCGCCTACAAATATGAGAGGCGCCCTGGGCATTGACGATGCGTTCTGCGTTTCTGCTGGGGAGATGCTGCCCGACGGAAGCCACGCACCGCCTGTGTCGTCGACAGCTGGCACAACCATTCTTCACCGCGCACGTTTCGTGGCACCGACGCACCCCACATGCCCTCGCATGTCCCTTTGCCTGCCAAGTCGCTGTCCACGTCATATTCGACGTCGCTTCCGATCTCCTTTCCCGAAAGGCGCGCCCACCACCCCACGCAGTACCCTAGCAAACGCGAAGCGCACGCCCAAAGGTGGACAGAGTGCCGTTACGATAAACGCCGGGGTTCGCGCTCATCTTCACTCGGCAGTTTCACACGGTGAGTGCGCACGCAGTCGGGACGTATGTGTGCATGGTCGATCAGATCCATGACAATATGTACACCACACACGTGATGAACCGACCCATCACGAAACACAAGCCGACCACTCGCAATCGATGGTAGATGATGTTTGCTTCCCTAACAACATCGTCGTTGATCTGCCCGACGGATGATTAACCAACGCATCCAACCGACCAATCGTGAAACAAGAGAAGATTACTTGCGATCGGATGATTGATCGTGTGTGTTGCACCGAAGATCAACCCGCCGGCGAGCGACTTGTTTATTTATCCACCTGACAGTCCCCGACATAACAGTCGATCGGTCAGGAAATCTGCCAGGATCAACTGATTGGTCGACCGCTCTGTTGGCGATTGCTCTACTGGTTGATCAACCACCACACCAACCGCCAACCGAGCAGCCGATCAATCAGTTGATCCTGGCAGATTTCATGACCAATCGACTTTCTGTGCACATTGATCGTGGAGAACGATCGCGGAGAATCCTCATGTGCACGATCGAAACCGGTGAACGAAACACACAACCGATCGAAAAAACGTCGATCCCGATCTGCGAACGAATAAAAAGCACTTCGTCACAATCTTGTTGCACATCGAACCTCATATAACATCGAACCATGCTGGCCATGGAACCTGGCTCCACATCAAACCTTGGCGGGCGTCGAACCTCGTCGGACGTCGAACTTTGGAGGATGTAGGGTCGTCGACACTTGACGGTCACTGAACGGCGAACGTTGAGCACCCACCACCCCACGCGTCGCCGACACTGTTCTCGTGAATGGAACGTGGCCGTTCCAATCTGCCAGCACGACCTTGGCCATACCAACCGAACTGATCGCGCAATCAAACACCGGAAGAAGTTGGGATCCCGGCGAGCTTGTGCAGCTGTTCGAACACGCTTCTCAACCCCGATACGCAACCACAGCCAAGGACGTGGAATAATATGAAGTCCGCCGGGATCCGAACTTCAAGAAATTGCTGGACGGCGAGTTTGGCAGACAGGTGTGTATCTCCCACGCAATTTCGCCAAGTTCGGATCCCGGCGAACTTCATGCAGCTGTTCGAACACGATTCGCAACCCCGGTCCGCAACCACAGCCTGGGACGTGTAACAATTTGAAGTCCGCTGGGATCCGAACTTCAAGAAATTGCTGGACGGCGAGTTTGGCAGACAGGTGTATGTCTCCCACGCAATTTCGCCAAGACCGGATCCCGACGAACTTCATGCAGTTGCTCGAACACGCTTCGCAACCCCGGTTCGAAACCACAGCCTGGGACGTGGAAAAATTTGAAGTCCTCAGGGATCCGAACTTCAAGAAATCGCAGGACGGCGAGTTTGGCAGACATGTCTTTGTCTCCCGCATAATTTCGTCAAGTTCGGATTCCGGCGAACTTCAGGTTCCTGCTGCCCTGCGGATCCAAACCTCGCTCGCACTGTTCCTTGCACACTCGTCGAGTCCGGACCTCGGCGAACCTCGGAGCCGTGATAATGCGAAGTCTGCCGGGATCTGGACTTCTCCTGCATGGTTCGTCGCACAGACGTCAAGTTCCCACCCCAGCGACTTCGCTTGTCTCATTGTGCGGGTTCAGAACGCGGGGTTTCTAGCGCCCGGGGGTTGGCACAACTTTGTATTTGAAAAAATGTGAAGTCCGCCGGTTGTTTCTCTCCCACGCGGTCTCGCCAAGTTCGGATCCCGGCGAACACCAGGTTCCCCACTGTCCTCCCGTGGATCCGGACCTCGCGTGCCCGGTTTCCCGCACTAAACCCACGCCAAACCCACGCCCAAACCCTACCGTGGATCCGCTCATGGTGTGGGTTCTGACTGTGTCCTTTCTCGCGAACGGGTGTTTGCCACAACTTTTGTTTCACAAAAATGCGAAGTCCGCCGGGATCCGTACTTCTCGTGCAAAGGTTCCGCATCCCATCGTCGGGTTCGCCTGCTGTGTATCTCCCGCGCGATTTCGCCAAGCTCGGATCCCGGCGAATTTGAGCTCTCTTCCTTTCGCAATGCATGTGGCAGGAGATGTTCCTGCTGGGCCGTGGATCCGAACCTGCTGTGCACGGTTCCTCAGACAATCGTCAATTTCGGAACCCGGCGGACTTCGGATTCTATAAAATGCGAAGTCCGCTGAGATCCGAACTTCTCGTGCACGGTTCGTCGGAAAACCGTCAAGTTCGGACCACGGTGTACTTCACCTTTCGGGTGGTGCGGGTTCTGACTGTGGACTTTTCGGGGACCGGTGGATCGCCACAACTTTTTATTCGTACGAAAGTGAAGTCCGCCTGGATCCGAACTTCGTGGCAGTTTGGGACGTTGAGTTTGGGAGACAGCTTCGTCTTTCCCGCGCAGTCTCGCGAAGTGCGGATCCAGGCGAACATGTCGTGGGGCGTGTTTGCGGCTGGCCTGCGGGCCGATAGATGTGAACACCGACGAAGCCGGCCACTCGAAATTGGATCTCGGGGCATACGCTCCGTCTAATGCCATGGGTCGCACATCGCGAGACATGACGCGTTTACTAGTGTCTTCGTGCCCGTTTGTGTCGTCGGGCATGTGCGCGTGGTGTGCAGGTTACGTGATGGAGGGGACCTTCTCGACACCACGGGTCTTCGAGTCGATCTTCTCGACACCACAGGCCATGAGTGCCGAGACGCACATCCGCTTAGCAGAACCTTTTCGTCCTTGTGCGAAATCCGTGTGGCATTTCAACGGTGTGACAACGATCCACGGAGCGACCGCAGAGGATTTCGACGAGGACCCATGGATGACCGTCGTCCCGTGCATGGACGCGCATCTTGACGACTGGGGCGAGGGCAATTGGGACAATATGGAGAGTCACTGTCCTTGGGCAAGCCAGTACAAGTTCGCGAATATGTTGGAGTTCGGGGACCTCATTCCATTGCCGCCGTCCTCAGACATAAGTTCCTGAAACATATGCGCAAAGCACTAAGCTGCATTAGCCTCTATTTCAGTCGCCTCGAGTGCCACAACGTCAGGTCGTCGCCACGAACTTAGGGGGGTTCGCTGAAACAAGAGTTGGTGGACTGCGCTCGTCGCTGCTCGTTCCTGGACCAGTACCCGCTGCGTGGCCCATGGATTTCTCCACGAGCTGAGTCGTACTGCTGTGTGCGGTTGACTGTGTCCGGATCTGATTTCGCCAGAGTTTTGTGTGTCGCTGCTTCGAACAAGAGCAGGAAACTTGCGATGCAGTTGTGCTCGTGTCGCGCAACGAGGTTGTGATTGAAGGGTCCAAATTCATGCCGATGCGTGGGCCTGAACGTGTGGATGGGTGACCAGATTTGGTGATAGCAGGTCAGGTTCGAAACTATTCGTTGTGGCATGAGGTTGAGGAGAAAGCGGGTGACATACGGGACTGCATAGGAAACTCCTTGGCACGGCCGGGGGTGTTTGTTAGGATGAAATACATGTCCGTTTTTTCGGAGAGTGCATCGGTCGACGAACCGCAGACCCGCGTATACGGATCGTCACTGAATGCTTTGTATGGCTTCGGTTCATGACGTTGTCCCAGGGGATCCCCAAATGTCGCCGCATCCGAACCGGTCTTTCAACCGGGATCTCCAACGGGTTTCAGGAAACGCGAAGCTCGCGCGACCTTGCGACGGGGATCTCTAAGAGTGCTTTTGGCATCTCGCAACGACAGTGACCGAGTGTTTGGCACATGTTGATGGTGGACGGGCAAAAACCGAGTACGGCTATGTTCTGTTTCCGCGGTGTCAGGTCTTTCCCGCGGCCCGCCCGACGCCAATGACACCAAAGACAAATTAACACAGAGGCCAGAACGCGAAGCTCGCCGAGATCCGAACTTCGTCGGGGCACAACATGGAAGGAGACGGCGTCAGAGACGGACGTCCAACATGACTTTCGTCAGTCACTGAAACGAACGACGACCAGGGATTTGCACGACAAGCGCGCGGTGCCGCGTGTGCCAGCAACCGCGGAGTCTCACACTTCTCTGCAGTCCTACAAATATGACATTTTCGGCAGCACAACCGCATCTCGTCCCTCGCCGTTCTTTTCCCTCAAACATCCCGTTGACACCTTGCTAGGACACCTTGCTAGGACACCTTGCTAGGACCCCAACTTTCTGTCTGTCTCTCTCGCAGCCTCCTGAAGTTCAGATCCCGGCGAACTTCCCGTGACGCCTGTGTATTGAACGGGCGCTGGTCTTGATGATCCCCCATCTTTTAGTACGGATCTCGGCGAACTTCGCGTCCTGAACTATCCGGGTTCCGAGTGCTAAATGGAGGACACTGCCCCGTTCAACGCGAGCTTTGTACGTCACCTCCCATCCATTCCCGATCTGGTCGACATCCGTGTTCTGAAAACACCGACGTGGTTGTCGCCCGACTGCATGAAGCGTGTGCCCTTGTGAAGAATGATCTCGTTGCAGGTAAGAGGTCGTTGCTGGTCTTCGCGTTCGAAGTTCGCCGGGATCCGAACTTCGAGGTCCTCGGATGGCGTCATGTGACCGACGTGTTTTTTGCCTGCGTTGTACTTTGACTGCGATTTGACGCTCACTGGTGTTTTATTTGTTTTCCGTTGTCGTCCGCAGACAATATGTCTTCGTCCAGGGGCGAAGGGGAGCCTGCAGCGACCTCCGGGATGGGATCTGGGAAAGATTCTACAAAACGGTCGTCTACGACCTCGAGGACATGATCCGACCACGCTACGTCGAAATGGTTCGTCGACTGGTGTTGTGGGGATGCATCAAACCCAGTGCAACAGCCGTGTGGTCCTGTGATCTTCGTCGAAGCCAACAAGCGGCGTAGGGTATTGGGGGCTGTCTTGCGGTAGGAGAATGCGAAAGGCAGTCGTCGGCGGTTCTACATGAAAAATGTCTACGGTGCGAAGGGGAACGTCGTCGCCGGTGCCAAGGGGGCGATTCTGGACATGTGTCCGTTCGAGGGGTTCGGAGCGGGTGCTGCGAACACCCCGTTCTACAACCACCTCCGGCGGCAGGGCGGGTTTGTTTTGGGTCGAGAGTTCTTTGACTTGTTGGAGGACAAGGACATCGCCCTCGACGTCCCTTGCGAAGTCGGCCCCGACTTGGAACTGTCAATGCCTTTGCAGCCGTGCGGCGGTTGTGAGTCGAGCGGGGCAGCGGGGGAGGGGGGGGATCTGGGTTCCGGGGAGGCTACACATGTGCAGCGGGAGGATGCCAGAGGTCAGTTTGACGACAACGAAGATGAGGCGACACCGCGTCCACCGTTTTCGCTGTCGAGGGAAAGAGACAGGTCCGTGTTGTCCATACCTGGGGTCCGGCAACATACCACAGCGGATCCCAGAGAAGAGGGAGTCCTGTGTGGGTCTGACTTGGAGTCTGCCGAGGGCCATGGCACTTAAGGCGAGGCCGTGGGCGGGGAGGGAGCGCAGGGCACTCCCCAAAAAAGGAGGGGAGAATGTCAAGAAGACTTGGTGGGCTCTTCGAAGAAACAGAAGACCAAGACCCCGAGGACTGCGGGAGAGAAACGGAAGGGGAGGGGGGTGGAAGAGGGCCACGCGGGTAGCAAACGTCCAGCTTCGAAACATAAACAGCCTGGGTTAGGACCTTCTACACCGTGGTCTGCCATCGACGTGGACGCCAGGTACTTCCTGGAGTACAAAGACGACGTCAGGACAAGGCGGGAGTTTGAGATCAACCCGGCTCAGATCGTCGACATAAGGGAGTGGGAGGATCTTTACAACCAGCGGTCGCTAGATCCCGTCCTCGTGGAAACGATAAGGGAAGCAATGCGGACTGCGTTCGAAAATAAAGAACAGACGTACGAGTTGTCGGTCTTCAAGCTCGCACCACTGGGGCTTCAAAAACCAACTCCTGGGACCAAGGCACAACGTCTGAAGCCGAAGGAGTGGAAGGACGAGCTAGCGGGAGAATACTACTACTACGCGGTGTGCGGGCAGCACAACGCGGCTGCAGCCAGGTCGCTGCTCGGCAGCGAGGTGGCCAAGAAGTACAATTTCCAGCGGTGGCCGGCACAGATGGTGTACTTTTCTGACGATGACTTCGGAGGGTATTTTCTTGTTGGTTCACAGGACAACAAGAAGGACCTCCAGGCACCTCCCAGACAGTTGAAACTTTCTATGAAAGACATTCAATGGCAGTGGAAGCATGACGGCTGCCCAAGAGCTGTGATGGGGAACCCTAGCGGGAAACAAGATCAGGTCCGGGATTGGCGTAAGTTTTGTACAACGGCGCTCCATAAGGCGCCTCAAAACAGCTTGTGGCTTCTCGCGGATCAAAAGGAAGAGGAGGCTATTATAAAGCAAAATGCTGCCCTGCGTTCTTACTTACCTCTGGCGATGGCCGAGGAAAATGTCTGGAAACTGGCCGTGGAATTTTTCGAAAAATGGGAGACGGGCAGATTACTGAGCCACGACGGGGCGAAGTGGATCGTCAAAAAGAAGAAGGTCAAAAACGTAAAGCCTGGGATCGCCTACATCCACAACGACAAATTGGGCAGAACGGAGGTGGTGTACAACGTCCCCGTGGACCCGCCGAATAAAAAGGGCAAAAAGGAGAAAGAGGAGGGCGATTGGTTCGTGCAAGTGCTAGACCCGGACGCGCATTGTTTGAAAACAATGGAATCACTCACGGACAATGAGAAGTGTCACGTTCTGGAAAAGGTGCTTGCTTGCGAGGTCGTTTGGGTCCAGGCCGGCTCCTCGTCGTTGGCAAAGTTGGGAAAGCTCAGCGTGCAGGACATGGTGCAGCTGGTGAAGTGCGACCACGTGCTGGTCCGGTTGTGGAATTACTACCAATTCAAGCACGAGAAGAGGCCGGACGCGGACTGAATCCAAAGGTACCCTTTCATGAAATCGAGGTCTGCCGTGTTCAAGAAGTTTGAAGGTCAGGGATTGGATGACGAGTTGTGGGATAACAGCAGGAAACACGTTTCCGACTCGGCGCTGTTCAAGGACTGCCCGCCGTACATGGGTTGCGACGAGGACAACTCGATTGAGGTGACGGAGAAGTTGGCGGGCCACAAGAAGTCGTCCGTCGACTGGAGAAACAAGGTTCTCTCCGTGTTGAATGGAAGCAGATTGAAGAGCCGGGAAGTCGCACTTGCCGAAGGCGTCGTTCACATTAAATGGAAAGACACGCGGGCGTGACATCCATCGCGTCGTTCACCAATGACCCTTTAGAGGCGGACATCAGGGGCGCAGAGCTGAAGGAGGCAGTGGCTGCCACAAAGAGCCACACGTTCGTCCTCGATCTGTGCGAGCCGGTTGACCTCAAACTGTGGAAGCCCCAAGCATGGGAGACTTTGAATTCCTATCTTCAAATGTGGTATCCCTCGAATTAGACTCTCGTTGTTTTCGTGCCGCGGCAGCACAACCTGTCGTTTCTCGCCAGCATGCACCATCTTTCTTTCGCCAAGCTGTTGGAAGGGAAGTGGGTGCGGAGAGTGCAGCAAAAAAAAAGCTTCCCCGTTGGGAATAATTTGTATACGGAGGAAGACCGCATGTACATCCTCTTCAAGGGTGACGATCTGCGCGTCAACACGTCCGTGGTCTACGAGGGAAACCTGCCCAGGGGTGTCGTTGCTGCGGTGCGATTGCCTCAGAGGGTCACCCAGACGAATGTGTTCGAGATTCCTTTTACGCCTTGCGACTGGTCGCTGGTGGCGCCTGAACGACAGGGCAGCATCTACGCGGATATGGAATGCAATCCGACACAATTCGTCGGTCTTCTTGATTTTCTTGGCAAGAAGGGAGAGGGTGTCGTGCTCCTTGGGAAACCGCACGCACGAAGCGTCTGGGAGCTTCTGAAGGCCGGCCGGCACGTTGTCGCAATGGAAGGGAACTCCGACCTCTTGCAATTCACGATGCAGGTGGTGAAAGGCGAGGTCAATTCGGGTGGGCACAATTGTAAGTTCATGGTCGTGAGGCCAACACGGGATAAGGTGCGGAGCAACAAGACGGATATGTGGTTCAAGTTGAGCGAGAGGAAGAGGAACAAGATATACGATTTCTTGTTCCTTCAAACGCATCCGAGGAGGGACACTGACGCCGAGTACATCTGCCGGAAGGACCACATGTTGGCACTGCTCGACAACTACCACTTCGCCTCCCGCATGAACGTGAAGACGTTTATCGAAAGGCTGTAGTCACTGTACTTCGTGGAGTCCGAGGAGCAGTTGAAGTTAGCCAGTTACGCTTCCCTGATCTCCACTGACGACGAGGAAGCCATAGGTGTGGAGTTTGTCGCCAACGCGAAGGAGGAGGAGAGCGACACKGAGAGCATCGACCTGCRGTACGACCCGCCKCCGGCGGACSACGGCCGAGGGTCCTCGTCGGCCGGTCCATCACCAAGCGCTGCAGCCCTCGTGTCACCATTGGCCAAACCGGCGCCGGGCACCACGCCGATGAAGTTGATGGAGAGACTTAGAGCTTTGGCCGCCCCCCCACCCGCTTTGCGTCCCGGGTCCGTCGTCCCGCCCGATCATCCGTCTTGGAAGGATGACAACATCCAGTTCCTGCTTGAACCGCAACGTCATTCACCTGAGCTGGACTGGGGCCATGACATGGTTTGGCATCCGGGAGTCCTCCAGCCAGCGATACGAAATGGTGAGTGGGTCATGGCCGTGGCAATCCCGAGCGCGGGATGGGTGTCATTCCCACGCGAGTCGAAGTCGAACTTCCTGCACCTCGCGAGGATGTCGGTCCTCCAGAAAGTGACGATCGAAAATAACACTTTAGCACCCGGCGACCTGTCCCTCATTTCCACTGTCGGTCGACTGTTCGACGAGCTTCAGGAAGGGTGCTGGTTGGAATTGATGGAGGACTACTACGAGCTCAACACGAGTCCGTCGAAGGGCGTGGTGGACTGGAAAGTGCCCCCTCCCAGTGGGCCGGACGGTGGTTCAGGGGGGGGGTCACCTGGAAGCGGAGGGGATGGGGGTGGCGACCCAGAGGGTGGCAAAGGAATCCCGCCTTTGGGGGAGAGAGGGTCTCAAGGCCGCAACACGACACCGGGAGTCAGCGCCGGGGTGGCGGGTTTCGCCGTCAACCGGACTCCGTCGACGGGCACCCGGCCCGAGCATACGACACACTCCGTCGACCCCCCGACTTCGTCCGTGGGCTCAACGAGGGACACGTTGGCAGCCTTGGTTCCTCTGGGCAGTCGCTCGGCCGGAAAGCTGAAGTCCGCCGGGATCCGAACTACGTCGGGTGAGGAGCCGCCAGAGCGGTCCGGAATGCGAAGCTGCTCGGGGTCGGGGGATCCAAGCAAGGATCGAGAAATTCGCAGCATTGCGGCGCGGGACGGAGACGTCGGAAAGGTGTCGCCTGAGCGGGAGCGACGGCCGCAAGGATTGCAGCGGGAGGCTGCAAGTGCAGGGTCCGGCGACACGGAGACCACGAAGTCCGCCGAGATCCGAACTTCTTCGGGCGGGGTTTGTCGGCCAGGGGTGGTCGTGTCGTTGAGAGGGGCAGCGTGCACGGGGACGGAAGGGCGGTCCTCGAGATTCAGCACGGGTACCGCGGAAGGGGACGAGTTTCGTGGGAGGGAAGTAGGGGAGAAAATGGAGGAACAGAAGGGAGCGCACGAAGAGGAGGAAGAAGGGGAAGAAGAGGTGGAAGGGCAGGAAGCGGGAGCAACGGAGCTAATTGATTTGTTTGAAGGAAGGGAGGATGTCGGATCTGGAGAAAACAAAGTGGAACACAGTGAGGACGATGTCGGATCTGGAGAGTCGTCTGACGAGTTCGGACAACTGTACGAAGAGCATCAAGAGGATGATGTCCACGATGATGCCACGACAATAGAGATGGAGACACAAGTGGTCTGCAGCCTTTCCGCAGAGCCTGAAGATTATGCGGTCCGACCACTGACCTCTTCTGTCGACTTGCAGCACCGGTTCGACAAGGCTTCCGTCGCTATCAGCCCGTCTGAAAAAAGTCGACGTATAAGCATCGACGAAGTTATCGACGGTATCCTCTGCAACCACAACGTGTTTGCCCGTCCGTCCGCAACTGACAACATCACATCTTCCATGGCAGCTGCCCTCGCTTCGTCACCGCCGAAGTCTCTGGTGCTGCCGGCCACCCTTGCCGCTGAAGGGGAAGGCGAGTTCGGTGGAGGACAGCATGTGACGTCCCCAAAAAAATCGAGGTTCGGCGGTCAAGCTCTCGACGTGCTCACTTTGCCTGCACCAAATTCACCATCGAAGGAGCGAAGAGAGAAATAGACTGGTAAGCCGGGAAAAACGCCTGCGCATTTGGATGTCGCCGGATTACAGTCCGCGCTATACACACGACAACTGTCCACACTGTCTGTGCATACGGGAAGTTTCGGATGCCGACATGCTATAGCCAGCAGCCCTTCCTACTCCAGCTCCTCGGCCTATCTGTGACTCGGCCGAGTTGCTAGTCGAGGGCGGCGAAAACTTCGTCCAAAACCTTACACACTCCATCCAAGGAAGGATCTGCCCCGGCTGAGGAAGTGGCCAAGGTACTAAGAAAGTGGCCAAGTAGATGGATTGACAATTTTCCCTTCTCGGGAATAGTGTCGGTTTTAGTCCGTCGGGATCCGAACTTCCTTTGTGGATGCGTGATGTGGTCAGTCTCAGTGGGGCTGGTGTGTTGAAAAGTCCGCCGCAGTCCGAACTTCGGGGATTGCTGGTCTCCGGCTTCTGTGAGTTGTGGTGGTTTTCCTTTGCGAAGTGCGGGGGTGATAAGCTTGAATGTTGCAGTCGTTTTGTTTTCCAGTCGCACAACCGCACCTGGGTGCACATGACCACGCGAGATCAGGGTCCTGTGGTCGGAGAGGTCCTGCTTGACTGTAGGCCAAGGTGCTAAGAAAGTGGCCAAGTAGATGGACTGACAGTTTTCCCTTCTCGGGAATAGTGCCGGTTTCGAGCGCCCACTTCGTTCGCTGGGGACGCGTGCCAAAGAGCTTGCAAGAGCCGGGTTCCCGACCGAGTCCGTCGGGATCCGAACTTCCTTTGTCGATGCGTGATGTGGTCAGTCTCAGTGGGGCTGGTGTATTGAAAAGTCCGCCGCATCCAAACTTCAGGGGTTGCTGGCCTCCGGATTCTGTGAGTTGTGGTGGTTTTCCTTTGCAAAGTGCGGGGGTGATAAGCTCAGATATTGCAGTCGTTTTGTTTCCAGTCGCACAACCGCACCTGGGTGCACATGACCATGCAAGATCGGGGTCCTGTGGTCGGAGAGGTCCTGCTTGACTGTTGCGTCTGTACGAATGTATGGTTCTCATTTTCCATTTTGTCTTTCTTCTGTTATACAGGGGTGGTGTCGTCTCGAACACGGAGGTCCTCCAAATATCCAGAGCACATATTGCAAAAAGTCCCCGGGTTGAGTACAAAACTCAAGGATATGTTAAAGGCATCAGGGGTTGATGTCGAGATCGGGAAGAAGGAGTACACCGTTGCCATTGAGGAATGTCTTTCTCTTCTTGCCCTAGAGAAAGGGACATATCCACGATCTGTGAGTAGGGGTCAGGCCATGTATGAGAAGTACTTAGCAACGCGTCATGCACCGGGGGACAATGCCTAGAACTCCGTTTCTCACTACCCCACGTGTCCTTTGCTCGATGTTGTGCAGTGCGGGCAACAAGTGCAGCACGCGGGAAAAGTTTCGCTGCAACGATTGCGCCTCAAGGCTTGCGGGTTTTGGACGACATTGTATGAGGCTCGGTGCCGTCTAACACTATTCTCTCTATACTGGGCGATGGTCAATTTCGGATTGCAGCAAAATATCTCCTCACCCTCTTGCATGTCAACGACAGGGTGAATGATGAGGTGGTCAATTCCTATATGGTGTTGTTGGGGTCGACCGCATGTGGGTCACGTGACATCTCTTCAGGCCTTCAAGTCTTCAACTTTAATTTGTTCTTCTTCAGTAAACTGCGACTTCAAGGACACGGTGGGGTGCAGAGGTGGGCTAAAAACGTAGATTTGCTTCGTTACGATATTATCTTCGTTCCTGTCCACAAAGATGATGATCACTGAATCCTCATTTCCGTCAACATGAAAGATGATGTTCTCGAAATTTTTTATTATTTTCCTCGCATTGTAGCTAATTCTAGTTCTTACCTTAGTGTTTTCGGGTTGATTGTGCAGTATTTGGAACGTCAAACATCACATAGGCGGTCGGGTAGGAATTGGAAGTCCATAGTGGGAAATGTTCTGGTGGATGGAGTTCCGAGACAAGTGGATGGAGTAAGTTGTGGTTTGTTCATGTTGATGTATGCGACGTTGTTGCAACGTGGAGATCGACCGCCTTTCCGGTTCTCTTGTAAAGATATTCCGCTTCTTAGACGACAATTAGCATCATGTGTCTTAGAACATCGTTGTCTTTGATGGATTTGATTGACTTCGAAACTCTTTTTTAAGGTGTTCCATTCGTTGATCGTTAAATTTCGTAAATCGAGACATTATTCAACTGTCCTTCTGTCAGAGGCATTGCTTTCTTTTATCGTTCCGAGTTCGCGTTATCTACGGCAAGCTCAATGCATGCCCTGCGTCATGTATGAGCTTTGTAATCTATGTCACGTAATGTAACATGTTCCGAATTCTGTTCAAGTTGAAGTATTGTGTTCCATGTTTCGAATTCTGTTCAACTGGAAGTGTAAACATGATTGTGAAACTGGTTGGTGGATGAATGAGAAATCTCATCTTATGTGAAATTGGTCAGTGGATGCCCAAACCTTCTTTGCATGACCATTTAAAATGCGGATATTCATCGTGATGGAGCACAATTTAAAGTTATACACTTGTACATAGAATATCGAAATTAAGTAGTAATTGAAATGCACCTTGCCCATCACAACTGTAAACAAGTATGGATCACATTTATGAAATTTAAGTTTGACAAGTAAGGATCACGGCACACTTCCACACAGGGTTCCCTTTGGCGTGCCAATCGTTGTTCGTTTATGAAGTTTGACTAGTATAGATCCCAACACACTTCTCCACAGGATCACCAACATGTTTTTGAAGTTCAACAAGTAAGGATCCCAACACACTTCCACATTTGGGATTTCATTTATGAAGTTTCACAAGTATGGATCTCAGCACGCTTCTGCATGTGGTTAACCCCTGCATGGGCATGCCTACGTTGCTTAGGCTGCAACCAAAAAATAATTCGTTAGAAAGAGGACACAGTATAATGTCCTATTTTAACGAATAACGTGTTTTTTGTTAAGAACCAGATCAATCGAGAAGTTGCTAGCCTTGGGTTCGGGAGGCACTCTGATCCGCCCTACTTATTGGACTCCCATCTGGTTAGATCGAAGATCAACTTCCTCAACAGAAACTTGTTTATATTCGGGCACGGATAAGACCGTCGTTGTGGAGTTGTTGAAAGAAGCAGCGCATTCCCTCACTCAAATTTCCTCATCCTTCGGGATTGGTCTGAAGAAGGTCCCGTACTTGATGGCTCTCTGTAAGCACCACAAGAAATCGTTCCGATGGATGACAAATGCTTCGAGCACCTTTCTTACCTTAGTCGCATCACTTTGCGATGATGTAATTAAGACCTTGATCCCTCTAGTCAAAGCCTCGTGCAAGTTTTGTTGCCACTTCTACGCACCCTCATACGAGTACGAATTCGTACTCTTGTACTCATATGCTACTCGTACGCGAGGGGCCGCATATGAGTTTTTATTATTATTATTATATATATATTTTTAATCTGGTATTATTTTATTTTTTTCTCAAATTCTAATAAGAATCTACTGCTCAGCCAAATTTTGCTTGTTTTGTGTTGTTGCATCACTTTTTTTTTTCGGATTTTTTTGATGACTTTTTTTTTTTTTTTTTTTTTTTTCTTTCGTACGGGGGCGTACAAGATGTACAGGTTCCCGTACAGATCCCGTACGAAAATTACCTATACGTTTCGTATGGAAAACCCCCGTACGTGTACTCTATGCAAAGTACAGTACAACCATTATCTCTGTTTAGTTTAGGTTACTTCTAAATGTAAATAATTTTTTATGTGACTTTTAAAATTTGACTCAAGATTTCGGGTACGAAGATCGACTAGCCTACAACTCTTAATGACTATTTATTTTTATATAAGGTTTTATATTCACAAGTCGCTCTTAATTTTTTAAATTAATCAGACTATTTTTAAATTATGCTTTAATTTTATGAAATGAGTTGTTTGCTCTTAGCACTAAAGTTGATAATTTACTGCAATACAAAACTTAGTTAACAGTTGTGTAGCATTGTGTTTAGGTTCGGTGACCGAACCCGAACGTTCGGGACCGAACATGAATGAGCGTCGAAACTCTCCGAACAAGAACATATATAAAAAAAAATAAACGTTCTCAGAAAAATCTGAAAACAATTTATGTTGTGTCAAAACATAATACAAACAACTTTTGCTTAGGGGGTATGCTCAAATTCGTATGCAAACTCGAGTTTTATATATATATATTTTAAATATGTTCGACCGAACACCCGAACAAGCTCAAACGTTCGGAAAAACTCCAAACATGTTCGGTGTGCTACACAGGTTAACAGTAAAATATATTAAAAAAATAAAACGAACCAAATTTTCAATCTATAATTTTTAATTAAAGCAAAATAAAATTAAAAAAACTTGTAATTTAAAATTTGTGACCAGTGAGGATGACAAGTGTAAATTTATGGTAATACTTGTTTATCATTTATTTTTCTCTTATATTTCGTTGTTTTATTTGGGGAAAGAGAGATCGGGGGCCTGAAATTGAAGAAGAGAGATTATGAATTAATACGATATGAACTTACAAAGTTAGATAGTTATAACTCGAACTTATTTTTAGTCCTTATGTTTTTATTTTGTATAAATTCTAAAATTTTAAGAATCATATCTTTTTTTTTTTTTACCAACCAAGGTAGTGGTTAAGAGAAACCTCTAATTTTCAGCGCTTCAGTTACCGGAATTAGTAGGGTTACGGTATATCAAATTGATTTCTTTTGAAGTACTAAAAATTTCCCTCATGACATCTATGAGGGTTATTGATAGCAAAACGAAAATAAAGAGACCGACGTCAATGGTTATTGTAGTTATTGAACTACAATATCTACTTGTTTGTTCGTTTTTGATATTTTATTAACTTGTTTATATATATATATATATATATATATATATTGATTCAAGCGCGTAAAACAGAATTATCGTACTTTTGTAGTGATTTCATAAATTGTTTTGTTAAATTAATTACTGATCAAAAAAACAACAAATTTTGTTTTTTGATTCTTTGCCAGAAAAAAGTACTTGAA